AGAACATGCAGATATCTTACACTTTAATATACACCACCAACAAATTAATAGCTAAATTTGAAAATTACTTCTACAGTTTTTAAGGGTAACAGCTATTCAAGTGGGTGAAGTTATAGTAGGTGCTCAAAGAAGACAGATAAAGGGCTTCTGAACACAGAATATGAATTTCCAAGTTAATGAAAACATAAAAAGAACATTGATTCTTTCTGCACCAGTAACTGAAATTTAGGAAACTAATTATGTTAATCTCAAGGAAATACATGTAGGGCTAACTGGTTTCCCTATGTGAGGCCATTCATCTGGATATCCCATGTAGACAGTATTAGCACAACTCCTGGGAAATTCATATCAATTGCAGGTTCAAGATTTACTCTCTCACTCAGCTTTAACATGAGACTTTGAGAGTCTTAATCATGATCTTCTCTGCTAGCCTGGCATAGAAATCCTTCCGAGCTACTGCTTTCTAAAGACGCTGAGTACACTTAAACAGAAACCCCATCTTCTTTCCAAAGCTGAAGTACCTGCTTACTTTCATTATTAAAGTTTTGAAGATGGTTTCACTGTTTCTTGTCAGACCCAGAAAATATAGTAAAGGTAACTATGGCTATATTCATTAAATGTTTGTGGTTTTTTTTTCTGAAAGGTTACAGAAAAACTAATGACTTCCTCTGTGAAAACTTTGCTTTTTACATTATTTAACAATGAATGAAACATGTATTTGTTCATTTAATTTCAAAAAGTGATCTGGGTGATAAGAGAGACCAAAGACTTAAGAATGGAGAAACGACTTGTCTTTCACACACAATCCTTTATCAATAATGTGCGTTCAGCAGAGCTTTGGGTCAAGATTTTAACAGTTCTGAATTTGAGGTAGTATCAGGACAAGCACCTGGCCAGTTATTTAAATGGGCAGAGTCATGTGACTTGCTGGTTACCTGAGTCAGCGGTTGGACTGACATCCCCTTATCAAAGTTACACTCTTGAATAACATTAATAAAATTAATGACAGCAGGCATTACTGTCTGCTTTATGCTAGTCACTGCTTTAAGCACACGAGTATATATTCGTTCTTTTGAATCTCACTGTGACTCTAGGAAGGTAAGTGCTGTTGTTTCCATTTCACAGAAGGGAGAACCAAAGCACAAAGCAAACTGCCCAAGATCACAATGCCTGAATGGCCATTGGCTGAGCTGGGATTCAAAAAAGTTAGGTGTAGCCTGGAGAATGTGTTCTTCACAATACAATAGATGTTTCTCATTCCATACCCACAAGGAGCTGAAACTGAGGGAGTATCGACCAAAAGGGCCAAGATTTTCCTCAAAATGTCATTTTGAATCACTTTTTAAAAGGTCTCTAGGTTTTAATGACACTGAGTATAGCTACAGTGAACTTTAGCCTAAGGATTTAAAGTAGGTTAAACCTCAGCCATTAAGAAACAAACCAACCCACTCCGAACCGGAGCACTTTAACTCTTTAACTCCCTGGAATATCCATCAGGGTAAGATAGATGTGAAATGTTAACTACTTTTTATTTGAATATAACTTTGTTGTAAAACAACTAAAGAATACAAAAAAAAAAAAAAGAGAGAGAGAGAGAGAGAGTAAAAATCACCAGGAATCCAGCTCCCTGGAGATAACGTCTTTTAGGGGACCATTTAGAAAAAGTCTATGTATTAAATAAGCAAACAGAATAGACAGCAATTTTCTATAAATGGGCTCACTCTCTAGTTTAACACCATCTGGGCATGAAAAGGCCTTTAAGGGTAGTGGTTAAGAACATGGAATCTGGACTCAAAGTGGCCTGGATCTAAATCCTAATATGTGAACCTGGGCAAGTTACTTAACATAAGCCTTAGGTTTCTGATCAGTAAAATGGGGATAACAGCATCTGTCATTACAGGATTATTGTAAGGATTAAAAGGGAATGCAAAAAAAAACAAAACAAAACAAACAAAACAAAAAATAAAAGGGAATGCAAGTAAAACACTTAGTTTAGTGCAAGGACATACTAAGCACTCAATATACTAGCTATATGGTTACTTTTTAAAAGGGGGTTCACTTAACATATCTCTGTGCAACTGTAGATATTATTGTGTTGATACAGATTTACATCAATATTAACACCTTCAGAGTATTCCATTTTAAAAAACCATAATCTGTTTATGTAACTCCCTACTGATAGGCTTAGGTACCCCCCCCAAATGGTTATTCCATAGATTGGAAGATGCCCTTTTTATACATTTTAGCGTCTTTGAAATGCACATTACATTTTATAATTTAATTAAATATTTTATTTTCTAGGTGGCACATATAGACTAATTGTAATAAACACCATAATGTCTATATTTTTTAAAATTAAGATTTGTTTAAGAACTCTTAAAAGTGGAATTTGCCGAAACCGGTTTGGCTCAGTGGATAGAGCATCGGCCTGCAGACTGAAAGGTCCCAGGTTCGATTCCGGTCAAGGGCATGTACCTGGGTTGCGGGCACATCCCCAGTAGGAGATGTGCAGGAGGCAGCTGATCGATGTTTCTCTCTCATTGATGTTTCTAACTCTCTATCTCTCTCCCTTCCTCTCTGTAAAAAATCAATAAAATATATTTAAAAAAATAAAAATAAAAATGGAATTGCCAGGTCATTTTATGTTCTGGTATATATCACCAAGCCAATATTCAGAAAGATTTTATTGGTACAAATCTCCACTGGCAGGAGGTGACAATACCCATTTCTCCACACAGTGGCCACCAAAGGGTAGGGGTCAATTTTTACTACCTTCACTAATCTGACAGGCAAAAATGAACTCATTTTTATTTGTTTGTTTTTTCATTGTTTTCATCACTGAGGTCAATTTACTTTAGATAGCATGTCCAATAAGTCACTCAGTAGAAGCTGCTGCCCATGCCTGGCAAGTGCAAAGCAGGACTGCAGATACCTTACATTTCCGGTTTACTCATCCCAACGGTTAAGAGGGCGTTATCATACTGTAGAGCAAGCTTCGCAGCCAGACCTGAGCACAAACCCCAACTCTGCCACTTACCAGATGTGTGAACCACAGCAAGTTACTTAACTTCTGTGCCTGTTTCTGCAGTCACGAGATGGGACTGATTTAGAGCCCCAATTCAGAAATTATGTATAACTTCATGGCATAGAGCACTGGTTCTCAACCTTCCTAATGCTGCGGCCCTTTAATACAGTTCCTCATGTTGTGGTGACCCCCAACCATAAAATTATTTTCGTTGCTACTTCATAACTGTAATTTTGCTACTGTTATGAATCGTCATGTAAATATCTGATATGCAGGATGTATTTTCATTGTTACAAATTGAACATAATTAAAGCATAGTGGCCGAAACCGGTTTGGCTCAGTGGATAGAGCGTTGGCTTGCGGACTGAAAGGTCCCGGGTTCGATTCCGGTCAAGGGCATGTACCTGGGTTGCGGGCACATCCCCAGTGGGAGATGTGCAGGAGGCAGCTGATCGATGTTTCTCTCTCATCGATGTTTCTAGCTCTCTATCTCTCTCCCTTCCTCTCTGTAAAAAATCAATAAAATATATATTTAAAAAAAAAAAAAAAAGCATAGTGATTAATCACAAAAACAGTATGTAATTATATATGTGTTTTCCGATGGTCTTAGGCGACCCCTGTGAAAGGGTTGTTCGACCCCCAAAGGGGTCGTGACCCACAGGTTGAGAACCGTTGGCATAGAGTAAATGCTCCATAAATGGTAGCTATTCAGTAATGACTTTAACTACCATGGCTCACAGAAGTGAAACTTGAAAAACCCCAAAGGAACATTGCATTTCCTTAAACATCTCTTTCTCCAAACAGGGATGACTGGTCTTCAGCCAGCCTCCCAAAAGGAGTCTTGTATAGGAACTGAAAGTTCATTCATTCTTAGTACCTACTTGGAAATAGTCCATCCAGATGACAGGGGAATAAATGAATATAATGAAAGGCAATCAAATTACCTGCTAGAAGAGAACTGAAATAGTCTTCATTCTCAAAAGAGTAAATGCAATATTCTGGATTTGGTCAACAAGATTGATAAGCATTATCAGCAGGCTAAAGCATACCAATACCAGACTAAAATAGTGAAGAAAAAAAGAAACAGCCCCAACCTGTTATTTTTTTAGGTTTGGTCATTGAAACACCTGAAAGGGAGCTGTGTACCGAAATCCAGCTGTTGTGAAAACTGGACCCAAGTAAATCCTCTTTCTCGGAAGCATCCTCAATGCGTCTTCTTTTCTCAGTTACACGGGAGACTTACTCAGATGCCCCCAGCTGGCCAGCAGAAATCCCCCTGTTTTTCCTTTCAGCCTCTCTCAAACCACCCCGGCTTCATCCTAGTCCTGACACCTATGCAGGCACTTACCTAGCTCACAAGCTGGCTACTGCAACCTTCCGGGCTGGGACTCCAGGGTGACCTCTCTGTCACCCACTGTACACACAGGGAACTTTCACCATCCACTGAAAACTTCAGATGCTTCTTAAGGAAAAGATCAAACTCTTACTGCGTTTTTCTAATCTGACTCCAATTCTACCTTATTCTCCACTACGTCACTCACAATCTATAACCTTATTCTAGCATTCCTATCTCAAACACAAGTACAACCACCACCCCCAAGCCCCCGCTCCCGCCCTCCTCTTAGCCCTACCCTATTTAATTCACAGGGTCCAGTTCAAGTGATACTTCTTCCTCAGAGCTTTCTCTGACTTCAGGTCTTACCCATCTCTTCCCTTCCTAACTACTTTGGCAGTTACAGGTGTAACACAACTTCAGCATTTCATTAAACACCAGTGCACTACAAAGTACTGTTTGTGATCTTGCATAGATCATTTAACCTCTATGGGCCACCATTTCCTCATCTGTGAAATAGTAAGTCAAAATTAATAGATTTTAAAAAGTCTTCTTCTGTTCAAAAAATCCTCTAATTTTACATACTGCCATATACTGTTTCAGATATTAATCTTCATTTCTCGCATTTGATTTTAAGAATACCTGAAGAGAAAAAGTACATCATCTATTTCTTCCCCAACTCTCAAAGCAAGTTATCCCAGGATGTGGCTCAAGGAGATGCTCAGTAAATGTGACAGTGGAATAGAGACATCAGTGCTGAGATAGAAGAAAACTTCAAAGATCTGAGTGTGAACCCAAGATCTAGTTCTAAAGCAGCTTGTGCAACCGGGATAGGTAGGTAGTGCCAGACGAGTAGATGGTCCACTGTCGGCTCTCTTGTTGAGTTGAAGGTCTGCCTTAATGGAAAACAAGAATGGAATGAACACAGGCTCGAGAGCTCAAAACGGTTCTTAATTCCTGTGCAGCACTGTTTGAAGCATGTGCACATAGCCCCTAAGTGACAAATGCGACTTTCAGGTGAGCTCAGACACGTATGTGCGTTAGGGGCCCTGTTCAGTGGACAGCTCCTAGCACTCTCAAGCCTGCCCTACAATGGCGGGGCAACTGAGGTTCAGCTCAGCCACGCAAAGCCTGAAACCTGCAAGAGAAGAGCAATTCCTCCCATTTCTATGCCCCAGTGCTCTTCTCAGAAAATACAAGCTTTTATAAGAGGGAAAGTAATGCAGTTCTATTTCAGGCTTCCAGTAAAATGTCTTTAGTTTTCTCCCTTTTCTCAGGGCAGTACAAGTCAATGTGTAGATAGAAAGTAAGAAAGTGGTCTGCTGGAGGACAGGAATCAACATTAACCAAAAGTTAACCAGGAACTCTAAGACAGTGGGAGGATGCGATCCTTCCAAACTCTTGTCAGAAGCAGAGGGCTAAGTCCCTTTCTATCATTATATTAAAATAAAATGTATTAACAGCAATATGCTCATGCCCCCTTTATCAAGAGAGGGCAAATACATATATCCCTATTTTAATCAAGTTAAACTGGTCAGTGCTATTCCAGCCACTTCTAAACACGTTTTAAGATCCTAAAGAGTTATCAAATCAAATCAGAGCCACTCAAATGAAGCCAGTTACTCTTTGAATAATCAAATGAAGGAAGCACTGTTGTTGCTGGTGTTTTTTTTACTAACAGTTCTTAACACAAAGCAAACGTCCCTCATGGCCCTCCTCTTCACTCAGCTGTTACACAGAATTATGAGACAAAGGGCAACTACTGTATTATCACTTTTTTTTTTTTTTTTGGAGTAAAATCACAAGATTACTAACAAACAGCTAATGGCCACAATTCAAAAGCAATAATGGCATTATGACTTCATATGCCAGTTATCTACCAAACTGGAAAGAACCAAGTATCCTTATTTTTCTCTGCCCAGAGAAAATCTGCAAGTGGGAGCACCCTGATTCACTTTCTCCCCATCATGACTTCTCTGGGGGAATGTTAAACAGTGTCACCTCCTCTAATTATAGGGGGAGGAGAGAAGGGTTTTATACTTGTCCAAGAGGTTACCAATTTAAGTTGGAGAACTTATAAAATGTTCACGGTCTCGGAAAGACTTCGGTGATAGTAAACACGGAAAGGTCTTGTCTGAAAATTCTTAAAAATCCTCAAATCCCTTCTTTTGTTTTACTTTGCTGCTTTAGTGCTAAATATGCAATGGGATAAACTTAACAGAAAAATATGAACCATCAGGCTTTCATTTAAGTTTCTATGGTAAGTTTAATAGAGACATCAGTTTGTATTTTAAAAACAACAATGCCCGGGCAGCCTGGCTCAGTGGTTGAGCATCAACCTATGAACCAGGTCACAGTTCCATTCCCGGTCCAGGCACATGCCCGAGCTGTGGGCTAGATCCCCAGTAGGGGTGTGCAGAAGGCAGCTGATCAATGATTCTTTCTCATCATTGATGTTTCCATTTCTTCATTTCCCTTCCTCTTTGAAATCAATAAAAATATATTAAAAGAAAAACAAAAAACAACAACACTTGGCGCCAAAGGGTTTTCATCCAGGTTACAAACGTGGATATCTGAAGTAGCCAATCTTATGATATCACCGTCGGATTATCTGCTGAAAACAGTAATCACCTATGAAAACATCAAATTACCTCCTCCGTATACCAATGATACAGAGTAATTTCGAGGTCTAAGTTGCATTTGCTCTGATTTCTAGCTCTCTAAGAAAACAGAATGAGAAGACATATGTCACTCTAAAACCTATAGCTGGTTTGCTTTCTGGCAATTTTGTGCTGACTTGGAAAATACCCTCAGAGAGTTTGGCATGACAATAACAGCTTTGAATAAAACACACAGTTTTTTTTCTCCTTAAAGAGCTCTTCAATATCACCTTTTATGAAATACAACTTACACATTTAACATTAAACTACTATGCAGTAATTTCAGAGAACTCTATGCCTTTGGCAATGAGAACAAAATATAACTCTCCATGGGTCTGCATAGCTTAAAAAAACAAACACAAAAAACTAGTTATTTTTAAAAGGACCATAATTCTACACTTCCACCTTCTTCCTCTTTGTAAAATTCTAATCATTTCATTCAGGGATAGTCAACAAACAGTAGCAGTTTCCAGCAATCAGACTAAGGCTCAGAGGGGGGGGAAAAAAGTCAAAACTTGAGACATGGTGAATATGCAAACACTAAAGTTCAAGTTTTCCTCATTTAAAGTTGACACTATTCGATAACACCCACCTTGTAAAAAAGTAAGTTACATATCCAAAAGGGCAAGCTGCTCCAGTCAACTAAGTAAACAACATAATTAACATGTGCCAGGTGGAAAGTGAATCCTCATGTAAATAGTGGGGTTCCAAATGAGCTGCAAACTGTAAAGCAGCTTATTTTTTTCTAAACTGTCAGCAGGTTTCTTTTGTGCAATTAGAGTTTAAAATGGGGTAATTGCTCCTCAAGTTTCTTCTAAGAATATTGAAATCTGACTTGTACAACAGCAAACTGAACCTTATTATTTAGAACTCCATTGTTTTTTTTTTCAAAAAAGAATAAAAACACACTGAGTTATTTAATGAGTTTTGGCAGGTATTTAAAACTACCTCTCTAAACTAGGGGAAATTAATTCCTAACCGACCAGGATCACATTCCAGAATGCAAACATCTTTGACTATGTAAAATAAGACTAATGGAGTGCTTTTACAGAAATACTTCAAGTTTAGGTCTTTCAAAACATCCCCTAATTTTTTAATAAAACTCTCCAAGGTAAATCAACCTACTTCCTTACTACAGTCATATTGCTTTGACTTCGCTTGAAATAGTACCAATATCAACAAGCAAAAAGAAATACTCGAGGCATTCACACAAAGGCAGTTAAAGACCATACATCACACACACACACACACACACACACACACCACCCTCTTAAGTCATATTTAATATTCTACTCAGCGTCCATCTCGGCTATCCAGATCTCACACGACGGTAAATGTGGGCAATGAAAGGAGCACGGCTTCTTTGTGTGTTACCGGGCAAAGAAGGTAGGTGAGTACAAGCAGAGGCCATTTCAGTATTTGCTTGGCAGCAACACTTACCTTGAGGATGTCCCCCCTTTTGAAGCTCAGCTCGTCGTCTGCAGTGGCTTTGAAGTCATATTTGGCGATGGCTTCCATTCTGAGCGCTGCTCAGTGCTCAGCAGCCTGAAGCAGGGGGAAGGGAGTCTTCCCTGCTGAAGCAACCCAGCACGCTGGGCTCAGCCTCGCCTCTCTTCTGGGACTGGCTCCTGCACTCCGGGACACACAATGCCACCCTGAATCAGAAGACGGATGATTGAGAGAAGTGGCCGGGATTGAAGGCAGCCCCGCCCTGCCAATAGGCCTGCTGTCCCAGCCCCCACGCCCCCTGGTTAGGCTGGCTCAACCCTCCTCCCTCCCTTCCAAGCAAGAGCCCAGATCTCCTTCCTCTTTTCAGCCTCAGGCCCAGGCGACTGACAGGCCCGCCGGCCAATGGTGGCAGCAGCTCGAGCTATTCCAGAACACACTTCCTCTTCCTTCCCGCTGGGTGTACACGGTGAGCAGGAACCACACCGGTGCAGCCCCGTTTGGTCTCCACCTTTCCTCCCTCACTCCTTACACTCTTCTCCAGGCACAAAACAGAGCCACTCAGAGAAGGCATGCCCCTGGGGATGCACCCTACTTTCCTCAGTTAAATAGGCCTGTCTCCCTCCTTTCCCTGCTGACCTTCCTGCTTTTCTGAAAAATGCTGGGTCCTCGATCCACAGTCAAAGGCAAGCAATGCAAGCTTTGGTCCTGAGCTGCTTCCAACTCTTCTCAGAAACTAAACCTTGGTCTGCTCCTAGGAGAGCAGGAGAAAGTGAACACAAGATCTACTTTTTTATTCAGTTTACTACTGAGCAGAAGACACCAGAGAAGGTCCAACAGCCTTTTTTTCAGCCTTTTGCTGCTGGATCCTCTGCTATTCTTGCAATAAGGCCCCTAAAGACCTGCAAAACTTTGGGGTCTCCAACAGCCCTTGAAACAGATGTCCAAGGTTTAGTATTCCAGAAGCAACCTCCACATTATTTTTAACTAGCCTAAGGAGCAAAGCTGACATTCTAATCTACATTTGAAAAAAATCCTTTTTATAGAATGAGCTGTCAGAAATTGTGTCTGGGAAAAGAAAATGCAGGGAGATGGTGCCAGAAAGTCAAACACATCTCTCAGTTACCTGAGAACAACTGCTTTGCTGAGAGCCAGCAGAGTACTGGTGCAAACTGTATTGTGCAGGTAGAGTCTGTAATAACCCTCTGGTGTGTACCCGGTGATGGGGAACTGTGGGCACCACAGACAATCACTACTGTAGTACAGTCTCCAGCCCTGAATATGGGACACAACCTAGACCTTTGCAGAACAAAAGGAAAATAAAGCCTCATTCTTATTTCACCAGTCACTGTTTTCATAGGGTGAAAACAACCCGAATCCTGGCAGAATGGGGACAGATTATTTATAGTGACACTCTTCTTGGATAATTACCACCTAGCAGAGAACTCATTTGAGGGATACGAGTGATTATTATCCTTTTGTTCTAAAGTTACCAAGTGGGGCATTAATCAAGTATAGCTGCAAATGGACTAAGCGGTAAACCAGCGGGAATATTAAGATTAGAGAAAAATGAGTATCACCAAGGGGAAAAGAAATTACCTAGTAATAAAAAGTCCTCCAGTCAAATTCTAAAAGCCAAACATTCTACTACAGGTAAACTAATAAACCAATCCAATGTTTACTCTATCAGGCCAGACCTAGGATATATCCTATGTGGCACTGGCCCAAAGAGAGCAAAGAAAGCAGTCTATGAAATATATATATATATATATATATATATATATATATATATGTAAAAAGATCACTCTCAGAGTATTTATTTTTGCCTGTCTTCAAAAACCCCGTACTTATACCCTCTGTAGTGTAGTTCTTATCAAACTAATCCATGTATATAATTTTAAAAGTCCGAGTATTGAAATTTATGAAAAAGAGCAGTTCCCTACCCCAACACCCACAAGTAATCACCCCCAATTTTGTTTTTAGCTTTCTCTTTGTATTCACTTACAATATTTCTAAGTAATATGCTTCTGTTGCTGCTTCTTAGTTTTTTCCAGCCATCATCTATCACCTGAAAGATGAGGCCCTAACTATTCCACCCCTGCTAATATCCTCTTGCCCCATCCCAGTAATATCACATATTCTGGTTTACGCAGTAGTATTACAACATGAAATATTGTTCACTGGTGATTTAAATAATGTATTGCAACTTCTTTTCTAGGACAGTCCTTTAGTTTCCCCAGCATTAATAACTGCTTTTCCTCTTTTGCTTACTTTCCAATGTGTGTACCTACATTTAATTGCTTATAAGTGCTCCAAAATCTCTGCTACAGGCCTATCAATGTTTTCCACAGACCCAATTGCTTATTTGAAAGGGTCTCCAGGTCTGATTGTTAGGACTATGCATCAATGATAGGAACCTGAGCAATACTTAGGCAGATCTAAAAAAGCAAGGAGTTTCATTTTTGCAAAATGGAAGTGAGACAGAAACCCAGAGCACTGTCACTGTCCAGGCACTATGTCGTAACAGGGCATAAATGTCTGTTATTCAGGACTTCAGACGACTGTAGTGTAACTGAACAGCCGTAGCATAAAAACCAAGACCGTTTTCAACGCTTGTTTTACTGCTGTTACTCAATTCATCTACCACGGGTTTCCTAGAGAAAGCCTAAACAAACTAACAAGTGAAAATCATGTTTCAAGTGACTATGGCTTTGTCAGATACAACTTGATAGAAATGAAACCCAAGCACAACGGATACTTCTGTGCCAAAGAGCACCTCATGGAGAAAACTTGAAGATGTCAGCTTAACAGGCTATCCACTGAAAAGAGCACATAGGCCAAAGGGACTCAAAAGGGTGTGTTCCCTTAAAGACAGAAAAATATGTTATCACATACGCAACACTGTTTATTAAAAGGAAGAAATCTGAGAGTGAACGCAATGTCTAATCATTTCAATAGAGTAGATGCTGCTGTTCACTTCCCAAGAAAATGGGTTGGGAGTACACTCAACACTGAAGCCTAATGAGAGTATGTCTCAACTGTTCCCAGCACACACCTCCCCGGCCCATCCCAAGCAATGAATTCTAAGAAGGCAAGTGTCCTCAGCTGGAAGATGGAAATAGCATCTACCTCATAAGGCCATTTTGATTACTGAAAGAGACCGCCCCTGCAAAGGCCTTAGCAGAGCCTCTGGCATAAAGCGCTGAGGTGTTAACTAGCATCACCGGTCCCATTTGAAATATTAGTCCGCACGTTTCCACAGTCCATCTAGAACTTCTAACTACATACAGATGGTCTAATAGGCAAATTAACAGTCCTATTAAGTATAAACTTTAAAATTAAATTGCTCCACATCAGTCCTAACAAAGCTCAAACATTTACACATATAAAAACTAATCACATCTATAGTCACGTACGTATTCTATTAGGCTTTTAAATATTTACTCTATATACACAGAAAAGTATACATTTCAGTTGAGTAATTTAAAGCCACACTTGTCTCATTATTCTATTCTATGCCTGTACTCTGTAACAACAGTTTTGATCCTTGGACCAGCTGCATCAAAATCACCCCATTCAGAGACTGATTCACTGTGGGGGTGCCTTCTGGAGTTCTGCAATGTAGTGGCCTTAGGCCCAGAACCTAATTTTATATAAGACTCACTGGTAATTCTTATGCCTGCTACATTTTAAGAATCACTGCTGTACCACCATAAGGGTGCCTTAACCAGATTTTAAACTCTGTGTTCCAGATAATGCACTACAACATCTTTAGATAACAAAAATCATGCATATTCACTTGACACAACTGGGAAAAAGCCAACTTTGACAAAACCAAGACTCTCGACGGTCATTCAGTAGTGCCAAAAAGTTCTGAATTAAGTAAGTAACCATTACTTTCTCCCAGGAGCGCATGGTGGGTCTCTATTCTGTATTGTTGCATTTCTCCAAAATCTATTATTCTTCTGCTCTAGGTAATAATTAGAACTGTTGCTGCACAACATGCAACACAATAACAGAAATTATTGAGAAAAATCTCTTAAGTACCATCAACCAGTAGTATTTAAAACCCAATAATCCTTCACATCTGAATATACTGGCTGAGGAAGTGAACAGCCTCAAGCATTTAAATGCTTGCTTTTAGTATCAAAGAAAGCTGACTAAAAGCGCTAACTTCTTTTTTTATTTTGGAATTTAGAAAATTTTGAACAAGGGAAGGGGCAGCAAGACAAATAAAGTCTTTTCTTTCTCCCCCCAAAAAGCCAACAACAATAAAAAAGAGGGCTGATTCTAGCATTTGTAGGAATAGATGCCTGATTTTTAAAAGCCTGGTAAAGTACATGTGAAACGAATTTAATATGTATGTCAACTATAGTTTAAATGTAAATATGAAAATAAAATACTTTTAAAGCCCGGTTAAAAAAAATTAGTACTATTGCAATGGGCAAGCTCTAATTGATCAAAGGTCTAAATAAATTCTATTCCCTTAAATGTTTCATGTTATCTTAATTCTATTGAAATATAGGTATATGGTAGGTTTTCATTTTGTTTTCGTTGTTTTTTTTACCTTAACCACCGCCCCACCCCCGCTAAAAGCCAGTGAGAAGTCCTACAGCCCCAGATCGACCCAGTCTTCCTTACTAATGCAAAAGTGACACAGGAAGAAAAGCATCAGCTGGCACAAAAGCATGATCCTAAGACGAAGGAAACAACTAAAACACAAACGAAACAAGCAAGCTACGCTCGTGACCTAGTGCAGTATTGATTACTTAGGGATGAATTCAATCCTTTGAGCCTCTCCGTTCCCAGGGGGAGAACGGAAGGCTCGCATGGCTCTCTAGCAGCCCTTCTGGCTGCCTGAAGGAACACAGTGCACGCTTGAAAGTAAAGGCTTGTGAGGCAGGAAAAGAGGCTACCTTCCCCGGAGAGAACACGGAATCATTAAATGAGGGAGAACACGAACTGCGCAAGGAGCAGAACAATTTTGCCAGCGGAGGAGACTACAAGGAAGAAAGGGAAGTAGATTAGAAAAAAAAGGTGGGGGGAGGGGGCAAATGACTTGCATGACACACAAGTAAGCACTTAGTCAGTGGCAGGGAGAGAAGTAGACAGCGAGGGAAGGCGACAAGTGCAGGAGCACGAAGTGAAAAGGGGACAAGAAAGCCAGAGAGACTAATGCTAATTTCCCTCGTGTCTTCTCCACTCTTTCCCGAGAGCCCACGGGACTCAGAGACCTCGCGTGCACTTCATGCAGCTCCGCTGCAAATTGTGCTTCCACGGCCTCCGAAGCCAGCCTAGAATAACCCCTCGCCAAGCTGCAGCTCCTATGGCTGCCCATCCTGGACGGCGAGCGTCACAGATGAAAACCACCCGCGCTGCGCTCTCCTCTCGCTGAAATCTTTCCTCAGAGCGTTCCAACCACTCGACCGCGGCTGCTTATTTTTCTTGACAAACATGTTTTCAGCGAGTAGTTCGCAAAGGGGGGCCGCGAGGGGAGGGGGAGGGACCGAAGCACAGGCATCTGGACTGTCTCCGGCAGCACACGTTCCAACGCGCGGCATCAATAGGGTTGGTGGGTTCCCTCCGGAAATTCAGCCCAGAGACACCAGGGGATGGAGAGCTGGTGGCCGTGCAGGTCCACGGGGCAGCACTCGCCCCATGTGCAGCCCGCAGAGGATCCCCCCTCCGGGCCAAGTCACACTGACTCACAGAAGGAGTAGCTCGTGCTCTCGGGCTGCTCCGGGGTCCTTCTGCGCAAACCCCCATGAAGAAGGCATGAAATAGAACTAGGAGCCCCCCGGCCTTTTGCTCCGGGGTCCGGGGGCTCCGTCCTGAGCCGAGGGCCCCGGGAGGACAGTCCCCAGGAAGGAAGCGCCCCAAAAGAGGAAACGTGGAGTCCAGAGTCCCGGGGACCCCCTCTCCTGCCCCACACCTCGCCGTCCCGACCCCCAGGCCCGGCGGCCTCGGGAGCTGAGCCGGGTCCCTACGGGCCGACTCCCGCTTTGGAGCGGGGTTGGAAGACGCACCGAGCCAGCGCCGCCGCGGCCGGCCCCACTCACCGTGGCGCAGCTGCTCCGCTCCGCACCGGCCCCTCCACAGCGGTGAGTGGCCGCCGACCGCGCTGCTGCTCCCCGAGGGCAGCGCCTATTCCGGCCGCTGTCACCGCCACAATCTCCGTCGTCGTCGCCGCCGCCGCCGCTGCCGCCGCCGCCCGGTCGCTGAAGCAGCACAGCCGCCTAGCTTCCGCTCCTCTCGGAGTCCCGCGAGAACTCCCCCGCCCCGGTCCCGCCCCGCCCCGCCCCCGCGAGATTTCCCCCCGGCGGAAAGGCCCAGGGCGCATGCGCTCCTCCGCGGCCGGCTACCGCTGTTAAACCTTCTGGATGCCAGGGCGCCTGCGCAAGGCCGCCCCGCAGCAGGTGGCACCTACACGGCTCCGCCCCTGAGTCTCCTTAACCCACTCGGTGCCAGAGCCGGTAAGCTACAGCGCAACCCTGAAGGAGCAAGTCTTCTGCCCCGCCGAGTCACTCCCTTCCCCTTCCACCAAACCAAGGCAATTTGGGGGGTGGGGGGAGAATCTCCCTCCAGCATGAAGTACCCCAAATAGAGGACCTGGTTGGTCTTGAGATATTTGGGAATCTGGTCCAAACTCTGCAGGGTTAGGTGAATTAACAGATGCATTTGTTCATTGATTGAATTCCCCGTCGCCGCTGAGCACGGTGCTAGATATATAGAAGGTAAGAGGACTAACAAATCCTGGCCCTCAAGGAATTCACGGTCTACGGGCGTGGAAGAAAAGTAAACAAGTAATGCATCAAGTATTGCTAGAATTATTTGGGGAATCGCTGAGCAAGCTAAAGGGATGGGGGTGGGGGATGGGGGGGGGGCATCTCAGAAAAGCCTTCCCAGAGAAGGTGCTGCTGTGATATCTGAGCCGAGTCCTGGAGGACGAGTAGGAGTTCGCTAGACAGAGAAGCGGGGGTGAGGCGTCCCAGGCGAAGGGAACAGCAGCACGTACAAAACGTACGTACGAAGGCACGGTGGTGTGGAGGTGAGAGCCGGGTTCCGGGTAATGCTAAGTAGTTGATTCCAGTACTAGGCGGGGCGAGGGCGAGGGCGGGGGGCGGGGTGGGGGGGTGGGGGGGGGTGGAGTGACAGAAGATGGTGCTTGGAGAAGTAACTCATTTTTCTGTTCCAAAAGCTCTTTCCAATTAAAGGAGAGAACAGAACGTGTCTAATGGTAATGGGCTCTCCGGAAGCCAACAAAATAACGCTCAAGTGAGAATAAGCAAACGTCTGATTCTAGAGAAAACAAGCCCATCGAAATAAGGAAAATGAATTTTCTTTCACTACTTATTGAGAGTCAACTGCACGCAAGGAGCTTTGCAGGGGAATAGATGGACCTCACAAAGCCTGTTTTCAGCAGTTTATCATCTAGAGGAGAGTTGCCTAGACTGAAGGCAAAACAGGCCCAGCGACCTACCTACAGGACTGTGGAGGAGGGGGCCAATTACTTGGTGCTCAAATAATCAGGGCGGATTGGGTGTTTGGACTGCAACGTGGAAGCAGGGAAGAAGAGTGATGGAATCGGGCAATATTTCAGATGCGCCAGAGTTTAGGGTAGTAATGAGGGACAAGGCCAACATCTATGGCTTAGATTTCATTGGCAAGCGACCTGACCTCTGAGGGTTTTGAGCAGATGTCTGGTATGAGGTTAAAAGAACAAGAGGACTTTTACCTCCACTCAATGTGTACCAAAATAACAGTCTTTCTACAGGGTAGATCACTTCCCCATTTTACAGACTCGGAAACTGAGGCTTAGGGCGGTTAGTATCTTACCCAGGGGAACCCAAATATAGTGACTCAAAATTTAAACCCATACCTTTCTTGTTCTAAAACCCATATATGCCCTCCTTCCCCCCCCCCCCACACTATGATACTTTGTTCTAGAATGGTAGCCAGAAAAAAATAAAAATGAAAGGGAAAGACTTAGTTGCTGAGCAGAGAGGAGGGGGGCGTGAGGGAAGAGTTGCAATTTTTTGTTTTGAGAACAAGAAACTTGTTGGTTGGGAGTAGCTGATTGGGCGGGAGGTAATGGGTGGTTTACAGGGAAGGGGTAGGTGAGGAGGTGATGATGACCACCTTGTGGAAATGTAGAGTTGATCGTTCCAGGAGACATGCAGGTAGAAATATCCAGTATGCTGCGGAAAAGCTCTGTGCTTCCATCATTCCCTCCAAACATTAACTGAGCATCTGCTCTGCAGACAGCAGGATGACCTGCCACAGAGCTTGCAGCCTGCAGGGGAAGACACACCTCTAAGAAGATGACACTCCTAGTACTGGCAGCTTTGAGAGCGCACAGTAGGGGATCTGCCTTAGTCCAGGATCAGGGAAGAGAGAGGAGGGAGGTTTAAGCTGAGATCCAGGTGAGGCTGAGAAGGAACGAGTGTTCCAGGAGAGATACTTATCAAGGATAATGTCTCAAGTCCTTTGCAAGACCCTTACGGATCTGGCCCCTGCCTGCCGGCGTTACCCTGCAGTCTCCAGCCAGCTCACTCTCCCCCAAACTACACCACTGTGGTTTCCTGAAGGGGCCACAGTCTCTTGAGTGTCCATATCTTTGCATATGCAGTTTCCTCTGCTCAGTCGGCCTTTGTCCCTTTCTTTGGGCCCCCAAGTCAGTTTTAGGGTTTCTTTCCCCAAATTCCCACTGTCCCTCCGATCTCCTTGCAGCATTGTTGATGCCCCACTGCCTCCCACCCCGTGCTCTGCAAGCTGCAGAACAGCAGGACTACGCCTTTTCACAGCTGTAGTCCCAGCCCAAGCACAGTGCATGGAGTGAATGCATGGGTGGATGGATGGGAGGACAAATAAATAACAGAGGTTGACAAGAGATAAAGGCATGGCTGCCTCTCTGTGCAACGTGATATTTGAAGCTAAGGAAGTGGGTGAGATCTCAGAAGAGACTAGATGCCTAAGAGAACAGAAAACCAAAAAAAAAAAAGAACGCACTTCCTTTTAAAATGCAACACTGATAAAACAGACTCTGAGTATGTCTCTGTAAAAATACGCGCATATGGGCCAGATTTGGAAGGGGAACGTTTAAAAGTAAAAATAGGAATTGTGTTGAAATAAAACAATTGTGGATGACCAAAAAAAAAAAAAAAAACACACCCCACAACAACAGCCACCCTTCAACATTTGTTACATTGTCTTTCTGATTAAAAAATTCTTTTCTACAGACACAGATTCAGCAACTTGAGAGAACGCTGCCCAGGATCATTTTGTGCAGAGAAAAAAGCCACGCTGGTGACAGTAGGATTTTGAATGTGCGTGTGACTGATGTTAAATAGCAAACAGAAATTGAAGCAACAGGCAAGTTGTGAAGTAAACGTTACCCTGGTGTGAAAACCTGCTGTAACTGTAGCAAAATTTGCTAGTGACAAACTGCGACCTCGGTTACTCCGGATGCACAAATTAATCACCACCCGTCCCTAGGCCCTCCTTTCGGTTGGGGCTTACGGTTGTTTTTAATCAAAAAGGGTTTCCGCGCTTTGCTTTTGGTGAGTTGTGGTGCTACCACCTGCTGGTAAGAACTGGGCATTGCCCTGGCATGTACTGAACCTTGAAAGCCCACAAGAAACTAGCCTAACTGTTGCCCCCCTCCCTTGGGAGCTGCCTCAAGACCACCCCTGGCGCATCCTGGGAGCCCACATTTCTGAGTTTCCCTTTGGGGGGAAGAGCCAGAGAGCCAGCGACAACCTAAACTCGGTCATTTGAAATTCGACTCCCACCTGCTCAATTCATCCTGGAAGTTTTCGTCTTAGAATTTCTTTGGCTCAAGTTGTGAGCCAAGACTGCATCCACCTCTCAGGCTTCGAGGGTGGCCTCTGATGCTGAGCCGTCCCTTCCTCTGGCTCTTGACTCCATCTTCATCACCGGGTCAGGCCCACACACCATCCTTCCTTGGGGACTGCCTACTGATCATCCCTCCCGCCCTCCCCGCCCCCCAAGTCACTGTCTACATTGCAGCCAGAGTGAGCTTTCTAAAATACAGATTGAGCCCTAGCTGATTTGGTTCAGTGGATGCGTTTTGGCCTGCAGACTGAAGGGTCCTGGTTTGATTCCCGTCAAGGGCACGTGCTGACTCGATTCCCAGTAGGGGGCATGCAGGAGGCAGCTGAACAATGATTCTCTCTCATCATTGATGTTCTCTTTCCCTTTCCCTCTCTGAAATCAATAAAATATACATATATACTTAAAAATAAAATACAGATTGAAACAGAAGGTCACAAGTAAGGTTCAAAGTCCTTAGCATGCCCAGTATGGCCCTCCGTAGCTGGCCCCTGCTGACAGCTCAGCCCTCAGCAACTCCACTGCTGCTGTTTTCATAAGACCATCTGCTTGTCCTTCTCTCTCAGACAATGAGTTCTTCAAGGACAGGGACCCTGTCCTGTTTTTCCTTGGGTCCCCACACCTAGCCTAGTGCCTGGCAAGAATACACCCCAATAAATGTTTGACAATGAAATGACAGGCTGGCTTAAGGCACCGTAGGGGGATAGGAGGAGCATTAAAGAAAAGTAAATGAAAAAGCAAGGGAGGCAAAGAACAGATGAAAAAAGCTGGAAAGAGAAACGAGGGAAGGGAAAGAAGGAAAGAGAGATGTAGAGGTATGTCTGATGGCGAGAAGTGGAGCTCCCTTGCCTTCCTCAGTTACCACTAAGAGACATTACTGCCAGGGCGTCCTATCTTATAAAGTATTGATCAGTCTCCATTTTCCAGTTAAAATTTTGTAATTTCTTTCTTGTCTACCTCCTTTCCACACTCTCGTCCCTCACTTCTTTTTTCCCTTTGGTCATCCCCCAAATCAGTTTTATCAAACATTATTCATTTATTCAACTAATTTCTTACGGAACTCTGTGTGCAAGGTTTAGAACTAGGGACAATGGTGGATAAGCAGAAAACCGAACAAGTCCGTGTCCCTAAGAACTCTATAAACTAACAGTGGTGGTAAAGCCTGGCTCCGAACAATGTGACACAACATGACAAGTGCTTTAGGAGCGCTGGCACTCAGTGTTAATGGGTTCCAGGAGAGAGAGTCCAAGAAGGCTTCGTGGAGGAGGCGGTATCTGAGTTGTCTTGAAGAATAGCTAGCATTCTAATAGGTAGAATCAAGTGGAGTCCCCTTAAGACCAAACAGAGGTTTTTAAAATGGAGAAAAGGGCCAACAATTCTTCTCTAATATAGTAGTTCTTACATTTTAATATACAAG